ATACTATTAGCTATTTATATATTAGCATATAATCAAATAAATCATTAAGAATAAAAAAATTTCCTTTACTATTAAATTTCAATGGGACATTAAAAAAATTAGCCATAGTTGTTCACTGGCTATCGTTATAGTTGAAGTATGAAGTCGAAGGAAAACAAATTTCTTGCTTTTTTCCTAATATTAATAATACATAATTTTCTTTTGAAGTATTTAATTAGGTAGTAAAATATTCTTTGACACTTCCAATGGCCTATTTGGCAAATATGTTATATCAATCGACACTTATTCATCATTCATTAACTACTTGTCCGTTTACTATGACTCGTTATCTCATAGTTATAGCAGATTTTCTAATGGCGAATACAATTGGTAAATTTCCATTCCAATAAAAATTTCAATTTATTATCATTGTCTTTTATTTGAATAGATCAATTACTTGAATATCATAATCAAAACAATTGTACAGTTTGAATAAAATATCTTCTTCAATAAGTTGATTTAAGTATTGAAGAGTTTCAATCATCAAGCAATAGTTAACCATTAAGAAATAGAAGTAAATATATAGATAAATATGAACAACATCTTTCAATTAGTGTTCAACATATAACGAATGATTTTATTTTCAACGTGAAGTTTTCTTAGTGTTTTGATATGGTATGTCACATTTGTTGACAACATAATGATGATAATGTTCTATCAAACTTATTGGAGACCTTTGAAATCATACTTAAATATACAAATTTATATTATTTTGATCAATTATTAATTTAAACTTATAATGAACAACCAGATATCCTAGTAAATAAAAAAAAATGATGAATTAGATTCAACATTAATAATTATTAATGAAAAACGAACATCAGCTGCTAAACTTGTTGAACAACTTATTTCAAACTATCTAATATAAAAACAGACGAATTATTTATAAATGTTTTTATCCCTATTAGATATACACTTAATATAGATAGTATGATAAAAAGTGATGATGAATCACATATTAGTATAAAATGCCCTACATTAACATTTCTATTTCATTTATCAACAATTTGATCATCCCAAATAGTTAAGATCTCAAAGCTTTAGTGAAAGTTATCTAATAGATACGACAATTTCACTGTTAAATTGTTGAAACAAAACGGTATATAACATATATATTAGAATCTGAAATTTTCAGAATGAAGATTTC